CCCAGCAGCCCGCCTTCAGGCAGTCCCCACACTGTTGTTTGCGTCCATGGGTCATGCATATATGTTCTTTAGCTAATCCCTTCACCTGACATGTATTTTTTAAATCCTCACCTAAGGATAGGTCCTCTGATTAGAGAGACAGACAGACAGACATCAATGTGAGAGAGAAGCATCAATCAGCTGCCTATCATACGTGCCCCAACTGGGGACCAAACCCACAACCTTTTGGTGTACAAACAGCATTCCAACCGACTGAACCATCTTGCCAAGGCACGCACTTATATTTCTTAATTGCGTTCATTATAGTTTGACTACATTAATATACAGGTGCGAGCAGAAGAAAGTTCGCAGTTGTGAGTGTGCCATTGTGACATTCTTTTGAGTTAGTAAAGCTATTGTAATAATACTAATCTTTTTTGATACAAGTAACTGTAAACATACTTTTGCCCACCCCTGTATCGATTGAATGAAAAAAGATCAACAAATCTTTACTGAATTTTCATATAGGCTAAACACTCTGCTGAGTAACTTGGCCACATAGGACCTTAACCTCGAGATGCTCAGAGCTTAAAGGGGAGGAGGTCATATAAGCAGTTGAAATGCTAAAGTTGAGGGAAGAAATGGCTGAAGAAAGCACAGATTATTAGGAAACATATGCCAGGAGCACCAGATCTACATGGGGAAGTTAGTAAAGGTCTTCCAGGAGAAGTGATATTTAAGCTGGCTATGAAAGGACATAGGAATTTTCCAGAGACAAAGTGAGGTGAAAGGCATTCTAGGAAGAAGTAACAGCTTGTGCAAAGACATGAAATCATGCAATTATGTGACACATTTGGAGAATACTAAATCATAAAAATTCCTGTAAGACCAAGAATTCATTCTATATCCTTCACATCTAGACTAATGCCTGTAGCATAGTAAACACTAAGTAAGTATTTGTTGGGAGGGAGGGAGAGAGAGAGGGAGGGAGGCAGGGAGGAAGGAAGGAAAAAGAGAAAGAAAGGAAAGAAGCCAAAGAAATAAGAAAGGTTCGGTGGTAAAGAGAAGAGCCTTGCTTAGTAACATTTAGCAAATGCCTACCATGGAAATTCAAAAGGGACTAGGAGGAGAAGTTCATAGTTTACTTGCAAAGAAACAACGAACACAAAAATATCTGTAATATGTTATAAAAAATGACATGCCACAAGAAGTACATAAAAAGTGTTATTAAAGTTCAGAGGAAATAGAGGTTCATTTCACCTGGGGGAAGCAGAGAAGTTGTCATTGGAGCTAGATGCTTGGTTCTGAATTGTTAGGTTTCAAAAAAAAAAAAAAAAAAGGCTGCATGGAGTTGAAGAGGTGTTGTAGCATAAGAGGGATGGGAATTTGTGCTGGACTAGACAGCCTCGCCTGCTCTGTCATAAATTTATCAGCGTTTGATAGGCAGCCATTTATCAGCCTGCACCACTTCCTTGGAAGCTGAACCTGACAGGCTCCGATGTTATCTGTAGCAAACACCTTTTTCTTGTTTATGTGGGTGTCTCTGTGTGTGTGGTTATGCTTACACCTGCACTCCAGAGATTTGGAGACAGCTCTTTCCACAGAGACTAGCACTGAAGGGGATACATCAACTGAACACAAGCTAAACTATTAACCATATCTTTTTTAAATCCACCTTACCCACACGTTTACATGTATATGCGTGCACCTGTGGCACACGTACATGCAGCACACAGGGTTCCGTAAGCAATGGCCTGGGCAAGACTTTAAGTGACTAAGAAAATAGTACTTATTTTTATTTTCCTTAACTCTATCCTGTCTGACTGTACCGTAATCCTCATTTCTATCTAAGGCTTATTAGGCATCAGTTCTATCCCCATGAACTACTAGATACAGTAAGGAATTCATGTAAGGAAATGACTCATTCATTAATTAAATACATATTTATTAATGACCAGTAATGTGCCAGGTGCTATTCTAAACACTGAGGATGTAGCGTGAGATTTAAAAAAAAAAAAATACCTTGCCCATATGGAGTTTACATTCTGGGAGGTGGGTGCAGACAATAGAAATATAGTACTTTTAGGTGGTGTAAGTGTTAGGAGATCAGTATAGCAGAGTAAGAGGGAAAGAGAGTATGAGGGTTGAGTCGTCAGAAATGTCCTCTTCAATAAGATGGCATTTGAATAGGGACTTGAAGGAGAGACTAAGCAATGGGAATATCTGAAGGAGGATTATTCCAGGCAAAGGGAGCAAGTAGAGCAAAGACCCTGAGGCTGAAGTATGTGGCCTGTGTTTAAGGCGAGTGTGGCTGGGGCAGAATGGGCCAGGTGAAGTGTGGCAGGACATGAGGTGAGAGGCGTGGGGTGGTGACCCCTCATCCCACACCTCTAGGCCATTGTGAGGCGGCTTTTGCTCTGAGCGAGAGGGAAAGCCATGACAGGGTTTGCGCACAGAAATGAGAGGTTCTGATTTACATGTTGAGAACTGACGGCAGGATCAAAGGATGGAAGCAGGAAGACTGCAAACAGTGGACTAGATCCAACGAGTAACAGTGGAGGTACAGAGAAGTGGTCAGACTGTAGATAGATCTTGAATTGTTTGAACCTATAGGATTTGGTGTTGGACTTGATGTGGAATGTGAAGGAAAGGAGTTGGTGATGACATCAAAATTTTTGGTCTGAGATGGGAAAGATTACAGGAAAAACAAGGTTGGAGGATATCAAGAGCTCAGGTTGAGCACATTAAGTGTGAGATGCCAATTAGTGATGAGTCGTATATAAGACTCTGGAGTTCAATAGAGGGATCTGGGCTGGAGATACAAACTTGAGAATTACAACAATATAGATGACTTTTAAAGCTGTGAAATTGAATAAAATAGCCTAAGGAGTGGGTGTAGAAAAAGGAGAGTTTGAGAACAGAGTATTAGGGTGTTCCAATGTTTAGAGGTCAGAGAGATAAGGAACCAGCACTGGAGATGGAAAGAGAGACACCAGGCAGATAGGAGGAAAATTGAGAGTAAACACTGATGCCAATGAAGAAAGTGCTTGGAAGGGGATGGAATAATGGACTGTTATCTGATGTTGCTGAGAGATCAAATAAGGCCTGAGAGTTGATATAGCAGCTTTGAGTCTTTGGGACCTTTGTTGAGTTATATTCTAGTGGTGGTGGTAGGGGGCAGCCTGATGACATTGTTTTCAAACAAACAAACAAACAACAAAAGAATGGGAGGAGAGGAAACCAAGATTAGTAGTATGGAAAACTCTTTGAGGTTTTACTATAAGAAGCAGAAAAACTGGACCATAGTTGGAAGAAAATGGAGATCAAGTCAAGCTTTTAATTTTTTTTTTCCTAGGACAGGAGAAGTCAGTGTCCCAATGGGAATGATCCTAGTAGGGAGGGAAAATGCAGTGAATTTAGGGAGGAGAGTGGTTAATGTGATGTCCCCTTGTAGGTGAGAGGAGAGGCACAAGTGGAAAAGGAGGGCCTTAGGCTGGACAAACTGTCCATGCTCCCTACTAACAGAGTACTTGGCTACAGGTGCAGGCAGGCTGGTAAACGTGGTGATGGAACATGTGTAAGTTCTCCTTTGATCACTTATGTGTCCTCATGAAATAAGAAACAAAGGAATGGAGGTGTTGAAGTTTTAAAGAGAGAGAAGTTCAGAGATTGTTGACAAAGAATAGGAGAAAGCCATGGACTATGTAAATGTTGTAGAATTGTTGGGCAGCATGAGGGCCCACTTGAAGTTAAAGTGAGACCAGTCAACATAGTTACATGATTTTCTCCAGTTATGCACATCTGAGTAGGAACAGGGAGAGCCTGAGACTTATCCAGAGGTTGTGGTTTTCCCAGATAAATAAGAGGAATAGAGAAAGAAGCAAAGGGATGATTATAATGAAGGATCAGAAACAAAGGCAGATAAGGAGGGAAGTGAGGACAGGGATAGAAGTTGAGAGAGAAAAGACAGTAGGATTAATGGACTGAACATCCTAAAGGTCTCTAAAGAATTATGATAATTATCAATTGTTGGCATTTCAAGTGCTTTAGGGTTGTAAACAAAGTACTTTGGGTTGATTTGCAAAATAAAACCCTATAAGTTAGGTAGATGATGGTGGTGATGATGTTGATTGTCATTGTATAAGTGAGACCAGATCCAAAGGGGTAAATGACTTTATCTAAAGTCATACAGGGAGTCAGTGGTAAAGCATAGACTCAACCCAAGGCTTTCTGTTTTACGTAACATCTTTTCACGACTTTGTGTGATATCTGCTCACAGATCACTCAGTCTTGCTGAACAGATGGGCTGTAGAAGACAACATAGGTAATACATAATCAAGTGCTAAATTCTATAGTATGGAATGATACAAGATGTTTTTTCATTCAGTAATGCATATTGAGCACTTAGTCTGTGCTAGGCTCTACTATAAATACCGGCAATATAGCAGTGAATGAGACAGAGAGAAAAATCCTAAAATTATGTGCTTCAGAGAAGTTTTAGAAGGGTTTCTCTGTGATTCTTTCAAGGCAACATGATTTGGTAAAAGGCACAATATACTAAATATCAGGAAACCTGTTTTTCTGCTCTTTGCTGTGTGTGACATTGTTACTTCAACTCACCACGTCTTAATGGGGGATCCACGTCCATAAACTGAGATGTTATGGTTTTGCAAGCTCCACCCTGACTAAAAGTACCATGAGTTTGTGTCTGTATTCTAGACTAATGGAGTAATTGCTCTAAAATGTTTTTGTCCTAATTTCCTGATCTAAAAAATGGGAATGCCACACTTCATTTCATAGTGATAAAACCCTGTTCCCATAGTGAAATGCTGCACTAACATGCATTCTAAAATCACCCTCTATTTCTGAAATTCTGGGGGCAGTATGAAGAGAGAGAGAGGCCGTGTTCAGCCTGCAGGTTCAGCAGTCCCCATTCTTAACGTAGTGATACTCTGAGGACCTGTGAAAAGCTTTGAAAAAACTAATGACTTTTTCCCCTCTTCTTACTTCTTCCCATTCAGGCCTGGAAGAAACGCTGGTTTATCCTACGGAGTGGCCGAATGAGCGGTGACCCAGACGTTCTGGAATACTACAAGAATGATCACTCTAAGAAGCCCCTGCGTATCATCAACCTCAACTTCTGTGAGCAGGTGGATGCGGGCCTGACCTTCAACAAGAAGGAGCTGCAGGATAGTTTTGTGTTTGACATCAAGACCAGTGAACGCACCTTTTACCTGGTGGCTGAAACAGAGGAGGATATGAATAAGTGGGTCCACAGCATCTGCCAGATCTGTGGCTTCAATCAGGCAGAGGAGAGCACAGGTATGAAAATAGGCATGGATCCTTGTTGGAAGGGGCACTATGAAACTGAATGAAATAGCCTAAGGATTGATGTTTCCTTCTCACATCTCTCTCTCTTTCTCTCTCTCTCTCTCCCCCCCCCACTCCCCCTGCCTTTGTCTGAAATCAATGACATGTACTCAAATGAGGATATAAATAAGTAAATAAATAAATAAAACCCCGCCTCAGAGTGGGGTTTGTGGGCCACCCGCAGCAGCTACTTCTGGGAACTTTTTAGAAAGGCAGAAGACTTCCACTCAGACTTAGAGAATCAGAATCTGCATAGTTTTCAAACTTCTTATTTTGAAATATTTTTAGACTTGCAGAAGAACTGCAGAATTGTACAGAAAATTCCCATATGCCTTTCTGTCAGCTTTTCCTAATGTTAACTAACATCTCACTTAATCATGGTACAATTATCAAAACTGAGCAGTCAACATTGATTGGTACAATACTGTTAACAAAACCCCGGTTTATTTGGATAGCACCTGTTTTTCACCAATGCCTTTATTCTGTTCAGGATTCATTTATTTATCCAGGATACCACATAAGATTGAGAGGTCATGTCTCTGAGTCGCCTCCAGTCTATTACAGTTACCCAGTCTTTGTCTCGTTTGACCTTGACACTTTATATAAGAGTACTGGTTAGATATTTCCTAGAATGTCCCTCAATTTGAGTTCATCTAGTGTTTTCTCATGATTAGACTGAAGTTACCAATTTGGGGGAGACAGCGTTACTATAGAGGTGATGTGTCTTTCCAAGCATGTTGTATCAGGGACACATGATGTCACTATGTCTTACTGCTGGTCATGTTAACCTTGAGAACAGCACTTGGTAAAGGTAGTATCTGCCAGGTTTCTCCACTGTAAAGCTATTATCTTTACTTTTATAGTTAATATTTTGGAAGAAATACTTTAATGATATGTAAGTACCCTATTTCTCCTTAAGTTTTTGCCCACTAATTTTATTATCCAGCAATGTATCATGATTGCAACAGTTATTACTGTCGTATTCTAAAGGTGATTTTTTATGTCCCTCAGAATCCACATTTTTTTTTTAAGATCTCCAGATGATTTGCATACACTTTAGAATTCGAGAAGCATTGCTCTGGATTATTCATTCCTGAACCTGGTGGGTCATCGAAAATCTTTTTCTTTTAACTTAGAGGTCTGATTCAGTAGATTTGATTTAGGATTGAGGAATCAATAGTTTTTGTAAAGTTTCTCCTACAAAATGAGAGAGAATATTTCCAAATCATAACTGAAAAGGGTCTAGCATCTAGAATATATAAAGACTCTTGCCACACGACAACAACAAAACACATAACCCCATTTAAAAATGGACAAAGGATCTGGTCTTGGCTGAGTAGATTAGTTAGTTAGAGCAACGTCCCTACACACCAATCCCCAGTCGGAGTGCTTGCTTTCTCTTTCTGTCTCTCTCTCCCCACCCTAAAATTAATAAATTAAAGTAAATAAATAATTTCGGGGGGAAATGGCCAAAAGATCTAAATAATGATAAACGGATGGCCAATGAACACATGAAAAGATGTTGAACATTACTAGCCATTAGGAAAATGCAAATCAAAACCACAATGAGATACCACTTCATACTCACTAGGATGGATACAATTAAAAGTATAGACAATGACAAGCATTGTCAAGGATATGAAAAAAACATACATTGCCCATACATCTGACCCTCATGCATTGCTGGTGGGGATATAAAATGGTACACTTCCTGCAGAAACAGTGCAGCAGTGTTTCAAAAAGTTAAACCTATGACCCAGCAATTCCACTCCTAGGCACATGCTCAAGAGAAATAAAAACATATGTTCATACAAAAACTTGTGCACAAATATTCATAGCAGCACTATTTATAATAAACAAAAAGTAGAAACACAAATGTCCATCAATAAACAAAATGTACTGATACATTCTACAACACAGATGAACCTTTAAAACATTATGCTAAATGAAAGACGACACAAAGAATCACATAGTTTATGATTTGATTCACAGTCAGCCCTCTGAGTCCACAGGTTATGCCTCCATAGATTCAACCAACCATGGATTGAAATGAAAAAAGTTACATTGTTGCTGACATGTACTATGTAGTTAGGCCTACAACAGCTGATGAGTGCATCTGTACTGAACATGTACAGACTTTTCCCTATCATTATCCTGGGAACAATACAGTGTAACAACTATTTATATAGCACTTAACATTGTATTCGGTAGTATAAGTAACCCTGAGATGATTTAAATTATACAAGAGGATGTGCATAGGTTATATGAAAGTACTATGCCATTTTATACAAGGAACTTGAGTGGATTTTCGTATTGTCTGAGGTCCTGGAACCCATATCCAAAAACCATGGGACAACTGTGAAATGTCCAGACTAGGCAAATCCATAGAGACAGGAGGTAGGTGGGTGACTGAGAGGGTGAGTGACTGCTAACGAGGATGTGGTTTCTTTGGGGGTGATAAAATATTCTGGAGTTAGATAGTACTGATTGTTGTGAATTTTGTGAATATACTAAAAACTACTGAATTTTGCACTGTAAAATAGTAAAATTTATGGTATGTGAGTTATATCTGGGTTCCTTTTCAAGTTCCTCAGGTGATTCTGACAACCAGCCATGTTTGGGGACCCCTGGAGTTGGGGCTGGCTTCACTGGCTTGTGACCTGTGCAGTTTCACAGGCCCCACACTTAAGTTAAGGCTCTGCTATCACCATCTTGAAGTTCTAAATTTGTTTTTAATTGTGTAAGTTTAATATATACAATGTGATGATTTGTCATCTGTTTATATTGCAAAATGATTACCATAACAATGTCAGTTAACGCATCTATCACCTCACATAGTTATGATTTGTGTGTATATGTGTGGTGAGAACTTTTAAGGTCTACTCTCTTAGCATCTTTCTAATATAAATTATTGTTAACTATAGTCACCACGGTGTACATTACATCTCCAGGATCTATTCATCATCAAAGATTACTTGGAAATTTGTACTCTTTGACCCTCGCCCCTGCCCCTGGAAACTTCTAATCAACTCTCATTCCTTTGAGTTTAATCTTTTTAGATTCCACATGTAAGTGAGATTATACAGCATTTGTTTTTCTCTGTCTGATTTATTGCACTTAGCATAGTAACCTCAAGATTTATCTATGGTGTTGCAAATGGCAGGATTCTTATTTATTGCTTAACAATATTTCATTATGTATATTTCATATTATATATAGTGTGTGTGTATTTTTACACACACACATACACAGGGCGGGGGCAAAAGTAGGTTTACTGTTGTTCATATGGAAAATAATATAATAATTAATAAATAATAATACAAGAATAAACTCATACTCACAACTTTAAACCTACTTTTGCCCCACTCTATGTGTGTGTATGTGTGTGTATATATACACACGTGTGTGTGTCACATCTTCTTCATTTATTCATCAGTGGACACAGGTTTTTTGCATGTCTTGGCTATTGTAAATAATGCTTCAATAAACATGAGGGCACAGGTGTCTGTTCAACTTAGTGATTTCAATTCCTTCGGATATATTCCCAGAAGTAGAATTGCTGAATCATATGATACTCCTATTTTTTATTTTTTGAGGAACATCCATACTGTTTTCCATAGCAGCTGTACCAATTTATATTCCCACCAACAGTGGACATGGGTTGGTTCCCTTTTCTCCACATCCTTGCTAGCACTTATCTATCTTTTTGATAATTAGCCATTTAACAGGTAAGAGGTGATACCTCATCTTGGTTTTGATTTGATCTGCCATTCCCTGATGATTAGGGATGTTGAGTATCTTTTAAGGTAACCATTGGTCATTTGAATATCATCTTTGGCAAAATTTCTATTTAGATTCTTTGCCCATTTTATAATCAGTTCACTGTTGTTGTTTTTGCTATTAAGTTTTATGAATTTCCTATATAGTTTGGATATTAACCCCTTATCAGATATATAGTTTGAAGATATTTTCTTCTATTTCTTAGATTGTCTTTTCATTTTTTTAATTGCTTCTTTTGCTATGCAGAATCTTTTTTAATGTAGTCCCAGTTATTGATTTTTGCTGTTCTTGTTTGTGCTTTTGGTGTCATATCAAAAAAAAAATCATTAGTAAGATAAATGTCAAGGAACTTTTCTCTGTTTTCTTTTAGGAATTTTATGGTTTTGGGTTCTTACATTTAAGTCTATAATCCATTTTAAGTTAATTTTTGTAAGTGGTATAATATAGGGGTCCAATTTTATTCTTTTATATGTGAATATCCAGTTTTCCCAGCACCATTCATTGAAATGATTATCTTTTCCCTATTGAGTATTCTTGGCTCTCTTGTCAAATATTGGCTTACCATATATGCTAGGGCTTTCTGTTCTGTTCCATGGGTCTATGCATCTGCTTCTATGCCAGTATCATACTGTTTTGATTACTATAGCTTTGTAATATAATTTGAAATCAGAAAGTATGATACCTCCAACTTTGTTCTTCTTTCTCAGTATTGTTTTGGCTCCTTGGGATCTTTTGTTGATCTCAAATAAATTTTAGGATTGTTTTCTCTATTTCTGTAATAAATGCCTTTAGAATCTTGATAGAGATTGTACAGAATCTATAGATGGTTTTAGGTAATATGGACATTTTAACAATATTAATTCTTCCAATTTGTGAACACAAGCCATTGTTTCATTTATTTGTGTTGAAGTTTTTAGTTTTTGAATAAGAAGCCTGGCATTTTTCCCTGTGTACTAGGCTCTGCAAATTATGTAGTCCGTTGAGTCTGGATGTTTTAAGGTACTAGATGACTTAATCAAAACTAGATGCCCTGGACTAGACATCCTGCCCCAGGAACTCTGATTTTTATCTTCCCTTGAGGAAGGATTTGAGCCCCCAATTTACTCTTAAATTGTTTGGTATTATCATTAGTTCCCATGTGAAATGTTGTTTTCCTCAAATATTTGTCATTT